TCTCCATCCACACTACTGAAAGGCCCACTTCATGGGCTCACTTCTTTTTTGGCCAGCCAAGTCGGATGGTCAAAATCGGGGGTTTCTCTCAAGCTGGCACGCTGGTGTTCTTTTGGGTTCCAAAAGCCCACCCCAGAAGGGAAACTTGTAAAACGAAACGTATGCCACACTACGGAGGTTTGGAGGTTTGGACACACGACCTCGCAAACCACAAGAAAGTCTCGCGACAGGTGTTCTCGAACTCAAGGAGCTCCTAGCGCCTGGTGTCCTTTCTTTGTTTCCCACAACCGTAAAACCCAAAAAGATGTTCCTCCCCAACAAAAGAGTCAGGTCTTGCCCCACCCCAAAAGCAAAAAAAGAACAGAGCCGGGAATTCCCCCCCCCACAAGCAAAACCAAGAGTCAGAAACACCCCACTGGTTGAAAGAAGAAGACAGCAGAAGACACGCATCGTCTCCGGTCCTTCGCCGCGGAGCCTCCCAAAATCTGGAAGAACATGGTGCCGATGAACTCCACCATCAGCGACACCGCAAACTGCAGGGAGAACACCGACCTGGAGCCCAAATGAAACCTACCCGGACCGGATCCGTGGGCAAACATGTAGGAAGAAAAATGGGCCGGGGAGTTTGGCAGAAAGGAAGATGAGCCTCAAAAAACGGTTAAAAGCTGCAAATCACATCAAATCACTTTTGCGAGGGGGACACAAAGAACAATCAACTTGAAGGCAATGCGAACATCCTCTCTGTGTGGCCATGGGACTTGTAGTTGGCGAACACCGTGTCTCGGTCCACCGTGTCGTGCCCATCTTGCATGTGCGTGGACGCTTTCTGCGCGGGCTCAGAAGACGGCATGGCGTTGAGTTGCGATGCAACGGGCTTCTTCCTTAAGGCACCAAAATGGCTGCGCCAGGTTTCCTAGGGGTTGATTCCCCCTTCTTTTCAACCATCGTTCTTTCCAAAAACCGAATCCGTTTTCCCGATCGGGTTTCAAAGGAGGTTTTCTATAAAGAAGGATCCTGGAAAGAATGGAATTGGAAGGTACCCCTAGAGTTTTAGCCGACGCGCCAGCTGCTTTCAGGGCACGGGCCAACCGCTTGCAGCTGCCAACTTCCGGTTTCATTCCTGGCTTAGGCTCCATAATCATATGTCCATGGGAGAAGGCCTTTCACGAGGTTTTTGAACCCCCTCCCAAAAATGACACAAGGCCACTAGAGACGCGTTTGGATCTATCTCCCCAACTAAACAAGGGGGGACCTCAAAATGGTGTAGTTGTTTCCTGTTGCTTTCCCTTTAAAAACCAAACTGCAAAGGGCACAAAGCCTCAAAAAGACACAACCCGACAACAGCCAAGCCCTCAAAGCTTCATATGATATGGATGGTTGCGAAATCCATTTCGCACTATGAAACCGTGGGAACCCATTGCTTGGTCTCAGTGCCTTATAGGGTTCCTTGCCCCGCAAAGAATCGCCCAATTTGGATGATGACCATCCTGAACGGTAAACTTGCCGGCAAACGTTATGGTGGTGATACTGTGGATGGTTGCGAAATCCGCTCGCACCAACGTTCAGAAGCCCTGGTTTCATCATAAAATCCCCTGTAAATACCAACAAACCATGGTGTCCCATGGTTTCTTAGGTGGTGCAGGATTTCGCAACCATCCACAGTATGAACCCAAGCACTGCATTAATGTGCCTGAACCTGTGAGCCCCCTGCGTTGGCCAAGAGAGCGGTGCCATCGAAGTTCCAGAGCATCTGGCAGTCCTTCACCTGAAAAACCGGCAACAACACGGCCAGTCAGCCCAGTCCGCTCCCTCCACTTGAGTCCAGTCCTCCATCCCAGTCTCCAAGTCCATCCCAGTCCATCCCAGTCTCCCAGTCTCCAGTTGGAGAGGGAGGCTCTCCAATTTTTTGCCGCTCGCTGCCTTGGGGTTCGCAAGTTCTTTCTCCCTCCCGGTTGGCTGATTCACGGCTGGTTTACTCTCCAGATGAACGTGGAACCACAACACACACACACACTCATGCACGCACACACACATGCACGCATTCGCACACACGTAACCATGTCAAAATCAGGAAGATGGTTGAGGAAAATTGCTCCCATTGCATTGCAGCTACCTGCATGTGGCTGAGTTCCCGTTGGTTTCCCTGCAGCCCATCCAAAACAAGGGGGCCATTCTGAGACACACCCATTTCGGGGTACCCTTGCCCTTTTGTATATGTCTGAGATTAACTGCAATCAAATGATATGGGTGTGGCTCAAAATTAAACAGGAGGGGTTACGCAGGTTTTAGTCCATGTTTCCGCTTACCAGGGTTCCGTTTTGGTACCGGTTTTTTCAGCCACAGCCAGATGTTCTCGAAGAGGAGATGAAAACACTAGGCCCGTTGGTACGGTTTAATCATGGGTCTTGGGGGGTATATTTCGCACCCCGTTCACATCCTCCAAACAAACCATAGACCTAATAGACTACCACAATCAAGAATACTATTAACTGATTCTTGTGGGTAGGTGTCAGCACCTTCCTTGAGTATAGCCACTTTGACTAATTTATTTAGATGGTTGCTTTTTTTGTTATTTATTGATTCCCCTGATAGTTAGCTGCAAGCTTTAGGGGTTCTAACTTCTAAAGAGGGAAAAGTGATTTGCGAGATCGACAGCTGGGTGCCTTCTGGGGCGTGCAGTTTGGGGTGCTGAATGCGGCCCCGAGGCCCTCCTTGGGGCCCAAGAAGTCAAGCCCTGTCTTACGCTATCTGTGTAATCAATTGCTGTGTTTAGATGTTTTTTGTTTTTCCAATTTGTTTTCCTGGTGTGTCCCATGAAGTCTTCAAAATATGTTCCTTTAGAAGTCCTGAATATCTATGATCATCCTATCTTTTCTTTGTCTTTGTTTTGGGGCTGGGCGGGGTGAAAGGGGGGGCAGCTTTAGAGGCAACACTGGCACGACACTATATTGTCTGTGCAAATTACTAACCCCCAAGCATAGAACATTTGCCACAGGGAACAGTAACACTCAGAGTTAGTTACCCTGAGCTCGTTATACCTTTTCCTCATGTTTTCCTAGTGGTTCAACAGGCTACAGCCGTCCGATTTCTAAGGGTTGATTCCCGTCTCTCTTGTGCTTGGCAATTTTGAGCAGCGGTTGATCCCTGAAGAGAATGTGAAGGGCGGCGTGAGACCAGTTGCAAATGATCGCAGCCTAGATCCTGAAGGCACCCCTGATGTATAGCCTATATCTCACTCTTTCTCTCTCTCTCTCTATACGTAATCAGTGTTTATGGGGTACACTCAGTCAGACCAAAGTGATACTTCTTATATGTGGTTGTTGGTCAACTGCGGGTCGAATTGACAAACGCAATCCGTGTGGCCGTGGGACGGTCAATTCTCACACCCTTGTTAAAAAAAGAGGTTTCCCAGCGTCCAAATCAAAAGCCATCGCGCGGACGAAACGTGGAGACTGTGGCAGAGAGACCATACAGGAGCACGGGAAACCCGAAGCCAAAGCCCCCAAAGCCCCCCCCAAACTCAGGTTTCCCTTCAGATTTGCCCCAGAAAGGCACCATGGTGAGGGGCCTAGTGCCCTGAGGTCCCTTGGATCTCCCTGAGTCGCCTTCTTGGGAAGGTTTAGCTCCATGACCAGCTTGGAAGGCTTGCTCAGGTTGTACAGCGACACCCGTGCCACCATGCCTCAGAAAAAAAAAAAAAAAAAAAACGAGTTCTTCGCTCTCTGGGGGAAACCCCCTTCGCGGCACAGCCCTCAAAATGAAAGACACACCGTGAAAATGGTTGATTTCCATGCAAAAAGCACGCCAAAAGGAGGCTCCTAAAAAGACCCACCTGGCTCAAGCCCACACAAAAATGAAGGCGCCGAGTGTCTTTCCGTGATGTGTTCGTTTGCTCTTCGACCAACCCCTGTTTTGGGGCATGACCAAAGGGCAGGCCACCGAGAGTCAAACAGATGGGCACTTGGACAAGCGGGTCCCTGATATGGGCGTCTCCTGAAAATGTCAACTCTCTTCCCACTCTTTCAATTGGCTTCAAAAGCAATTCGGGACTTTGGGCGGCAGCCTATCAGGGGGGGGGGCGGGGCGGGAAGGCCATTCTCCCGAAGGTTGAAGGCTTGCAGAACCAAAAGAGCAAGCAGTTTTGCCCCGCCTATCCAGCCCTTTCGAAGGAGCTGACCAGGAAATGTACCCCCGTCCAAGACAGAACATCGCGAATGAATGAGCAATCTGGGCAAAGCATTGGACAAGGAATCCCAAGCAATGAACCTTCTTCACGTTTGCAACTTGCCCAGATGGCGTGCTAAACAACAAAAGAAGCCAAGGCAAACGCGCAAATGAAAAACAACAGAGCCAAGGCCAACAAAGGCCTTGAATTCGGCGTGGCACGGATCGGACATGGTCCGAAGCCATCATTCAGCGACCAGAAAAGAGGTTTCACGCGAAAGGAACCTTCATTATATTGGGTTGTAAGCCCTTCTTGTCACTTTGCCCAGATCCTTTGGTTGATTTTCTTCGAGGACACCTGGCCCACAAAAAGCGCCCCATCCCGCAAAGTCAATCGGCACCAATCTCTGTTCACCTGTCGAAGCCAACGAAGAAAGCCCTTGCGGTTTTCGAGTGGGTGAATTGCCTCGGTGGGTTTGTGGTTCGGGTCTTGGCTTTGGTTCGCCATAGGTTGGGATGAAGCCGTGTTTTGTGGCTCCCCTCTTCCCGTCGACTTCGGGGCATCGGGGCATCGAGTCGGGGCGCTGCCCTGAGGCACGTAGACCGCCACCCAGGGCTCCTTCCCGGGAGCGATCAGGAAGTTGCCCTTGGCGCGACAGGGCGTCTTCCATGTGCTTAAGCCCATAGGGTGGGTAGTGGGGGTGGGGCGCTGGGTGGGGCGCTGGGTGGGGCGCTGGGTGGGGCGCTGGGGGGGGGCTCCAACGGAAAATATACGCATTTTTTTGACAGCAAATGGAAGAAGTGGGGTTGGGGTTGGAGGTTGGGGGCGGGGTCGATACTTAAAAGCCCCTCACCCTCCCTCAAAAACTGACTTTCATGGCGGGCTGACCCCCAACTTCCATCGGAACAAGGGTAGTGGGCGTGTCCTTTGTAGGGGGGCACCTGCAAATTGTGGGGTTCCTGTTGATTTCCCTTTGAACAACCCACTAAAAGGGTACCCTCAAAAAGGACAAATTCTTGCACAAAGCCCCCAAGGCCCCAAGATGTGCAACCCAGAATCTAGAGTCAACTTACCTGAAAAGAGGTCAAACAAGTTGCAACCATTCAGAGATTTAGAGGAGACTGCAGAACTCAATAACTGATAATTTCCCCGCAGACAGGTATAAGGAAGCTTCTTATTTGGCCAGAGACTTCCACGAGAAGTTGGCGAGCTCCATGAGAAGTCCGCTTTCGCGTCATCCAAACCAACTGGTCTCAAAACGATCCACTTTCCTGGATAATGTAAGGCTAAGAATTGGGCTGGAAAAGGAATTCTGGGGACTCAACTCCAGTTATATGGTTTGGCCATTTTGAGCAACACTGGAATACCATCGACCAACTTCCCCCCCCCGGAGCGAGCTCTTGGCGATACGTGCACCGGGCAAACCACATGACACACTAGGGCGTTCCCTAAAATGTGGATGAACCAAAATTAATGGCGTCCTTGGCCTGCCGAGAGCGCGTTCAAGTGCTGTTCTCTTTGATATGTCCAACCTCGTTCGACAAATGTGGCAAGTTCAACTTCTGACGGGTCGAAAGCCAACTCAGCCTGTTGGAGAGGGCCAGTTTCCCCTCCGACAGGCCGACAGGCTGGGTTGGCTTTCGACCCGTAGGCTGGGGCGCATCCAACCCATGTCCTGAATCGATTTTCTAAAAATTTGATCTGAAAAATTAGGTCTGAATTTTCAGAATTTACCATCATAAGCTTTGATCTGAGACCATCTATTTTTGAATTTAGCTCAGATATTTGTGAAGCTGAAGAGGCTTGCTCAGTCATATTGTCGGTCATGTGATATTATTTATTAAGTTGATTATCCTTGACAACTCTGAACGGACTTCCTTTTCCAAATTCGAAAGGATGGGAACAGTCTTGGGTGCCAAAACTGTGGGTCTGGATGCCGTATGCTTGTCTGAAAACAAAAAATGGCGTGTCATTTTTGGGGGAGCCCCCAGAAATCGCTTCGGTGCTCGTTTTGGTCCCTTTAAAACCCACCAAAAGACGAGCCACCCAAATGGTTGATGGCCGCCCCTCTTGACGGGTTCATCCTGCACGTGGCGGCGCCAAGGCCCAACAAAAACGGCTGCCGAGCAGCCACGTTGGGCTCAGGGATGACCTGCTCGTCATCCTGGCCGCTCCAATGGCGCTCGAGAGACACGAGGGGAAACTCGCAAAGACCCACCCCGTGAGGCCCTGCCATTGTGGATGACACCCCGGGACCAACACAAGCTGGGAGGGATTCAGGTTTCTTGCCCGGCAGGCACAAGAGTATGGTGATGCTTAGGTGGAGGGGTCAAGTAGAACGGTAAAACGGTGCTAAGCCAGCTTAACAGGGATCCTTACATTATACACCTGAGCATTGCCCTGTAAATGGTGGTTTCCCTTTACTTTGGTGGAAAAAGCCATGTTTCAAATGGGCAAAATGTCTCTTTTAAGGAGCCCTGCTTAATGAATGCGCTTGTGAACAGCTTAAAGCTAGCCCCTCCAATCAGCCAGACTTTGAAACGGTCGGGCTTCTCTATTGATGTTCCCTACGCCAATCAACCAAAAGGAAGCTCCATTTGAACTGGCCCGAAAGGTGACGTTTACAACCAAACACAGGGCAACAAAGGGGAGCCTTGTCTTTTCGGCGCTCTGTCAGATTACAAGCAGAATCCATTTGCGAAAGACAATATCAGGATCACTCTATGCCAGTACAAGTATTTTCTCTCAACGAGGGTTCCTCTTCCCTCAAAGGGCCTCAAACTCCTGCCACGGTGGGGTTGTCATTCTCCAAGTAAGCCAAGCTGTGAACTCGAAGCCCTTTGAAGCCCAAACCATGGAAAGTCAGGAGGTAGGTTTAAAGGAACGCGTTTCTTTTTTTGACTTACGTCGCCCATGTTACACGGGGGCCCCCGTTGATTCAAGCAATCTGACTCCTCACCCTGGGTCGAAGCCCTAGCTACGGATCACACATCCGGCTTAAGCCAGGCCTGCGGCCTAGCCCCAAAGACTGAAAAACAGCAGTGTGCTTTTTGAGCGCGGTGTGCTTCCTTTTGGAAGCACACAACGCGGTCAGGTGTACATCTATTCCTGACATGCACCACTCCAACCCGCTCTAACGGCCCTCCAATTGCAACACTCAGATGCCCAGTGGCCATTGGAAAAACAGGATCCTTGTTGGTTGCTTCACTTTAAAGGGGAACCCTTCCCCAAAAAAAGGAACAAAGGGGTACCACTGGGCAACTGGGAACATGTGATTGACTTTTGGCTGGAGTGAGGTAGAGCCAAGGAGCCTGAGGTCTAAGAGTCTAGGCTGGCTGGCTGGCTGCGCTGGCTGGGCTGGCTGGGCTGGCTGGGTGGCTGGCTGGAGGGCTGAAGGAGAGTCAAAGAAAAACATGCGCTGGTCAAATGAGTTCTTTGAGAACCAAGCAATACTTGCTTTCTGAGTGGATTGGCAGAAGAAAAGTCTGAAATTGTTGTTTACAACCCAAATGGTCTTCCCAACAGTCCAGGAACTCGGGGAGGAAGACAAACTGACCAAGACAGCAGCAACATGTACTTTTTTCGGGCGCGGGTCAGTGGCAAAGGCAGCAAAACCTGCGAGAAAAAGAACGTCGGCTTGGGGCGGGGTTTTGGGCCTGCTGCTTTGGCAGACTTTTGCGACCGTACCCGCAGACCCTGCCAAAGCCCGTCTGGGGAAAGTGAATCATTGTCAAAAACGATCGGCGCCAAAATGGTGAACCCAAAGCCATGTAAAGAGTTGTCAAGGCGGTTTCAGCCAGGTTTGCCTCTTGCTGACGAGTGACATCTTCCAAGTTTAGAACAGGCAAAAGTGGCACAGAGGTTTGAAACCCATCGGATCTCTGGAGAGGACCCGTTCCTCCAGATTCAAGAAAGACATATGGGTGTGTCCTGCTTTTTTGACTGGCCCTTTTTGGTTGGGTTTTATAAGGACAAACAAAGCCTGACTGCTCACGAATTAAAGCACCCAGACTTTTGTGCTTCCACCCATTTGCTTCAAAGCTCATTTCTGCTGGGAGTGTCGACTCTCCAAATTGGGACCCACTTCACGCCGATCGGCGGTCTCGCTTGGGTTTCTCGCACACCAAAACCGCCGAGGCCTCGGGGTCCGTGGGCTTCTTCAAGCTCCCCTCGTGCACCACCTGGAAACTCTTTCGAGTTCTCGAAAATTTCGACACCTCGAAACCCCAAAGGCTGGGCGGTCCTTTTCTGACCCATGAAAAGTGAAGAACGTGTTGTGGGTTAAATGGAATTTCAACCTTTCTGATCCCCGGCGAAAAGTTTGACTAGCCTTTAGTGGGGGAAACATACTCAACGACTGAACACTAAGATGCTGCAAAGCGAAGGAAGCGGATGCCACCAAGAAAAGGTGGGGACAGCCAAGGAACAGAAAAAAACATGGGATCCCTTCAGCCTTTTCACATGGAACCTGACGTAAAAGGGGGGGGTCCTGGTTTATTTGGACCATGTCCTTTTTAAGGGCCCGGGTCTCGAATGTGAATTGGTGGGAAGGCACACTCAAACATGGTCGGTTGACTGAATCCCCATAACAAACAAACAAACAAACAAACAAACAAACAAACAAGCAAAACAAGCAAAGCAAACAAACAAAACAAAAAGATAACCCCCCACGTGTTAACAACAAAACGGTTTACCTGCCGCCTCCTTTGCGGCCGCCGAAGTATACCAATGCTACGGTGGGCACGATTCCGTTTGGGAAAAGCCAGTATCTCAGCAGGTCAGTTTCGTCAAGAGCCCTCTCACCTAAGCAGGTGCCCCTGACATATGAGTCTTAATTGTACAGTTGTATATGAGGGATACTGCCTTGCCAACCTAAGGGGGCCCCAACAATGGTCGGTTTCTTGTTGGCTCCCCTTCTACTAAGCGAAGTCCCAAAAGCACGACATGGGCTTCCGCACTTCTTTTGAAGCTACCCTTTTCAAGTTGGCTTCAAACTGTAGGCCATTTTCAGCCGGCCCCCCTGGGTTTTTCAGCCCGAAAGGGCGCCAAACGCCCCCCTCGATGAGGCCCCCGGCCACGCCCACGCCGGGCACCAGCTCCAGGCACTGGCCCTCGTCCGGGGTCCAATTCAGCAGCTGCACCTCGCGACGCTCGCGCTTTCGGCGACGCTCGCTTTCGGCGACGCAGGGAAACAGCTGCGAGGAGAAACGAGGGGGTGGTACTCGCCATGAGGATAACTTGCTTTCATTTTGTTTGCCGAAAGTCATGTTCTTGGCCACAAATTATTTGGAGGGAGTATGTTGACGTGAATTGTGCATTTTGAGGCGCGTTCAGTTGGGCGCAACAGTTGACTGGCGCAGGGTACTGGTGGAAAGTTGACTGGTGAAGGGGAATCTTCGAAAACTGCTCACTAGCTTCTATACCGTGCAATAATGTTAAAGCGACCCCCGCCAAAACAAAGAAAAGGAAAAAGGAGCGACATGAGCCACGAGCAATATTCATTATGTCCCCAACAGACATGAAGCAAACTCCAGCGCATTTTGAAGAGTGCGCCCCATGTCATCCGCAAACATTCACCGTTGCTCATATACTCACTGGAAGCACCATGAGTGTACGATGGGTGAAATGGCGTGTTGACCCCATATGAATCAATCAATCTGTTCCACTCGAAAAGTGATTGCCAAAATGATTCCCCACTAAACCCAGGGACACCCTATGAATAAACTGACTGGCTGGTTGATTGATCCGGGGTTAACCTTCAACCCAGGGAAACCCCGTCACCCCGTCACGTCACCCCCCCACCCACCCCCCCACCACTCCCCGTCCGTCCGTCAACGCCGTTTCGGGTGCTGAGCCCGGCGCCGGCAGGGCGCCGCTGGTGTAGCCCTTCAGCGTGCAGGAGCGGATCCGCTCCTTGGCCGACCGCGTGAGCAGACGACCCAACGAGCCCAAAGCCGTGAGCGCCTTGGGCCGTGAAGGGATCAAGGATTGGGAGAATGGGCACGTTGGATGACCTGTGGATGGGTGGATGGTTGCGAAATCCATTTCGCACCACCTAAGAAACCCTGCAAGGATGAGCTCCCTATAAATAGCAACAAACAATGGTCTCTCCTGGATTCATAGTGGTCCATCCACAGTAGTATTGCAAGTAAACCAACCATACTCAACCACAAAACCATGGTAAGCTACGGCGAGTCAGAGGTTTCCCTTCTTCGCTTGCTGGCAACACTTAGGGCATCGACTTGAGCTGGAAAAAAAAACCGTATTAAAACTCTTATCCCAGGATGTTTTCATTGCAAATCCAAGCGGCGGTCTTCATAAGAGTGAGGTCCCCCAAAAACATGCCCCTTAAGTGTATGAGGTCTCAGGTGTGTACACCGCTGCAAATTGTTGCTGGCTGCTGCTGCTGGCTGCTGCTGCTGCTGGCTGCTGCTGCTGCTGCTGCTGCTGCTGCTGCGCTGCTGCTGCTGGCTGCTGCTGCTGCTGCTGCTGCTGCTGCTGCTGCTGCTGGCTGCTGCTGCTGCTGCTGCTGCTGCTGCTGCTGCTGCTGCGGCTGCTGCTGGCTGCTGCTGCTGCGGCTGCTGCTGCTGGCTGCTGCTGCTGGCTGCTGCTGCTGCAACTCATTGCTGGGATCTGCAGAAACAAAGAAAATGCAAACTACAGAAATGGGCCACTCCTGATCCAAGGCATCTACGACTTGCGCGCGACTTGCGCGCGACTTGCGCGCGACTTGCGCGCGACTTGCGCGAAAATTTAGCAATCTGCCGGATTCTTTCGACCATGATGATGATGATGATGATGATGATGATGATGATGATGATGATGATGATGATGATGATGATGATGATGATGATGATGATGATGATGATGATGAATCATCACTGCTTCACTTGCGCTTCACTTGCGCTTTACTTGCGCGGCCCCATGTTTGACTTGCGCGGCCGCTCCTGCAACACACTCCTGCCATTCAAATTACAAGCGGCGGTGCAGCTAATTTGATAGGTCCAAAAGACCTGGGATCATGCCTTACATTGACACAACGTTTTTTTTTGTTTTTTCCGACTTCTCCCATGCTTTTCAGGAATCCTGTGCTGTGTTGGAAAGGGTGGCAACAAAGGACCGAAGACAGGGTTTCAAACCATCCAACCAAGCCACCAACCAGCCAGCCACCCCCCACGGACCCAGCAAACCAAAATCGGCAGCACCTTGCGGGTTGCTTTTTCTTTGGTCGCCGTTGCTTCGCACGTGCAACTCCTAGAGCTGTGCGCGAGCTCTCCCGATGCAATGAGGTCAGAAGCGAAGGCGCAGGGCCTATTCATCGCGACTGACTCCTGTGGTGGTTCAGTCTGAAAGTCCAGTACTCCACCAAGATATGCGCCTGACAGTCTAGTACTCCAAAATTAACATGAGAACTGCAACAGTGGGTGCGTGCAATTCAACATGGACAGTCTGAGAAGCCGCGAGGCCTCTCCATATCTTGCACATCGGCCAACGAGCCCGCGCTTTATGTACACGACGCAGCGGCAATCAGAAGCGCGCCACTCGCCGAAGGGCAGTTCACAAGCTTCAACAAAGGTAGTTCTATCCATGTGAGCATGTTGCCAAGTCATCAACCTGACGTGAGGAATTCTTCCCTGAAGAAAAAAACAAACAGTCACCAACCTGAAGTAGGGACTCTTCCCTGAAGTAAAAGAAGAAAACAAAAACAAAGTTCCAGCGAACTCGGCCGCCCGGTCGCCAAAATCCCTCTTACCCGTCTCCGGGTGTACCCTACGCCTCCTCCGCGCAGGCGCCCCCGCGGCGGGCATCGGCCACCTGGGTGGCCACCCATGGGGCAGCTCCGCACAACTCCCGTGGTGGCTAAAACCCGTGGTGTTGCTTAGGGGGGTGAAGGGTTTAGGGTTTAGGGTGGCACCCCATGGTGCTGCTTAGGGTTCACAACCCCTATTGGCTTTATTTCTTTTTGCAGCCCCCTACTAAAAAACTGAACCAAGAAAAAAGAAGAAGCAACTTTGGCGAGTCCTCCACCTTGGTTTCCGTTTGAAAGACGCCAAAAAAGGGTTCCCTGGCGAAAAGCCACACCCAGAATTGTCCGCTGTAAACATCACGATTAGAGTTAGGCCCAGTTGTAGAATGTATATTTTATTGTTTGCTTCACTTTGAGTCACTGGTAAAATGTCACATGTAACCCCACACATCACTCCCTAAGAATCTACGGGAATGCAGAAAAGTAGCTAGCCCAAACTTGCCGACTTTCCATCAACTTTCCTGCTTTCGCCGGCCTGATTTACCAAAAACAAAAGGAGCTTGAAGGAGAATTTCTTCAGTCGTTTGGGATGCCTGGCCGGCCATTCTCCAGGAACGCGACTCCCCAGGCTTAAACCAGGAGCACAGCCCAGGGTCCCTCATAACCCATTCCCCCGGTCGACCCACCAAGGAAGCTCATTGGTGCCTAAACCGAAGCGAGGAAACCTACGCACTGAAAGAGGAAAGTGGTCAGTGGCTTTTCTCCGCTTTTCTCTCAGGTCAGAGCTCCCGAAAAAGTCCCCAGACATTGGGCCAAACGAGGGGTTCAATTCTTTCACTACCCCAAGCTAGGCTGCTTAAACCCAGGGGTGGTTCTTTTCCCCAAAAGGGAACCCTAGGTTTGAGTCTACCTTGGGTAGTCTACAAATGGAACCCTGGGGCCAAAAGTGACGCGGTTTCACCGTCATGCGGGAATAGGTGACATTTACGTAAATGGGGTAAAAACCATCCATTTCGCACCAAACTAACCTAAAAAGACACCTATGCCGGCAAAGCGAAGCCAACCTTCCAAGCTTGTCCATGGGTCCCCCGGCTTTTCTCGGGCAAATGTCAAGCTCGTTTTTCACCGTCTCTCCCAAGACTGTAGACACATCACCCCCATGATGGTTCTGGCCCGGGGGTAGCGCGTCACCCTTGCCAGCGACTCAATGACTCACGATCCGCCTTCCAAGTGGTCTCGGGGCCTGCAGCCTCCGGCAACCTGAGCGTCGCCCCACAAAACGCCCCGTAGGGTCCCGTAGGGTGCCCCTTTAAAAAACCGGAAAAAGGGGTACCCTCACAAAAAAGACAAACCCATTTGGGTATGAGTTCCAATTAGGGGACACCTTGGTGGCATGATCTACCTGGAGGGCTGATGTCCAAAACCCAGTGTGTTCTACATTAAAGCATCACAATGTGTCGACAAGACCGCGCTGCTTGCCTGTTCAAGATTCTGTGCGATAGTATGTTCCACCCTCTACCTACATATGGTCACTTCCTGAGTCGATTGGTACCAAACGCATGCATGCATGCATGCATGCATGCATGCATGCATGCATGCATGCATGCGTAACTCCGCGTACGCATATTGCATCATTGTGGTTGCTTACCATGGAACAAAATCACGTCGTTGCTGAGTTCCTCAGGCCAGCCAAAAGAACCATCCCATACGAAAGCATGACCACACATTCTTCCCGTATCAAAGGAAACAAATATGTCCCACCCGTTGGTAACGTCCTTTCATAATGACACCACGCAACTGCAATGTTGGATGTATTGTAGCAAAAGGACATATTAGCTGTCTTTGTGTGAGGGCACCGTGAACATGTTGGAGGGAAGCTCAAGGGAAAGCACTTGTCTCTCGTCTTGGTTGTTTTGCGGGGGGGGGGGGGGCATATCCTACATTGAATATTCGACCTTGTCTCAAATTTCGGGTACCCCAAAAACGGATGTTCCCTGTAAAAGCCAACTGTACCGGGTCTTCTGAAAAGAAAACAAGTCACTTGCGTGATGTCCATCTCGTGTTGAGAAAACCCATGCAACCCCCCCCCAAAAAAAAAAACAAAAAACAAAAAAAAAAACACAAAAGACTTCCAAACCCAAACCAAAACCCCAACGCAACAAACCTCAAATCCCCGAAAAAGCTTGAAACCAAACCCGGGAAACGACGCAAACCATCAACACCGCCCAAAAACCTGAGCAAAGTATCTCAGCCCTCCAAAAAAAAATTGATTCCCTCCCAAAGTGTCCCCCCCCACCCCAAACACCACCCACCGCCCAAAAAAAACAGAAGAGACTCCCTGCCAAAGGCTCCCCCCCCCAACCACCACCCCAAACCGCTCGCATTTCGTGGGCCTTCCACAGCTGCCCACCAGCCCCGCGAAGCCATCGGCATCTGCCACCTCCGCGCTGATGTAGCGGTGCACCAAGGGCCCCGCGCCTCGCTCGAGCCGAGAAAATTCCCCCTGGGGCCGCACCACCCCTTCCCCCCCCCCGGAGAAAAAAAACAAAAAAACTCCAAGGGAAAAGATGTGAATCATACCACCGCTGTAGAGCAAAATGCAACATGCGTTGCTTTAAGTTATTATATAGTGTTTTTTTTCTCCCCGGAGAAAAGGTCGAGTTCCTCTGCGGGGTGGTGGTTTGGGGGGTTAGTGCAAACCGTGGCCAAACTGACGATGTTCCCTCAAGCGGACATGGGAAAATTAGGGGCATGTCCACTGGTACTGGTTATTGAGGTTCCCTGCTAACGACGGAATCATCCGGATAACGTTCTAATCAGGAATGGCGAGTGTGTTAGCAAGGAACTTGATTCTCTGTGTTGCTGTGGGTTTTGCGTTTGGGAGGGGTTCCCTGAAGAAGCCAGCATTGCTTCTCCAACAGGACATGGGATGCTATCTCCTCATGGTAACTTGGCAGTGTGGTGCCCATCTCCTCCCCCTTACAGTAACTGTGTATGTGCTTGTTTTAAGGGAACCCCCCCAAGATGGCTGCTTTCCCCATGGTTTCCCTGTAAAACCCCCCGAAAACGGCCACGCAAATGATGGTTGATAGCTCAGTAGATCAGAGGGCTCTTTGTCCACCAAAGGGAAACTCAAAATCACGCCTCATCCTGCCTGGTTTAAGGCCTAACCCTTGAACTCCTTGCACGAGTTTCTCCAATGTGTGTGTGTGTGTGTCACGCAGTCGCTGACGCCAGCGTAACCCATGCTGCTGCGCCATCCTGTAAAATGCCCAAGCCAACAGAGTGCAAATCCCAGAAAGAGCGTAAGAACTCTAGAATGCCACAAGCAGCTTTGCCGTGATAATTTGACCAAAGGCTTCAACAATGGCAAGCTCAAAACTACCCTGCCATATCGGCCCACTTATGCAACATGGCGCTACACCCCACACCCACGCCCCGCTCGGCCTGCAGTCATTGGCGCACATTCAGCCCCTGGTGCGGCATGGATGTACGCCTTCCTGCGCTTGCGACGGGCACGGTCGGCCAAGAGATAGCTGTTGTTGCATGGCCTCACCCCCTAAAAGCTAGGGATGGAGCCCCCCTAGCCCTAGTGACTTGTGGCATGCCCTTTGTGTGCTTGGAGCTGGCTTAGAAAGAGGTCTGCAAAGATAAGGGGGCGCTAGCTGTCGCAAGGAAAGGTGCAAAACCATCAGTTGTGTCTGTGTGTGCGTGTGCGTGTGGGTGTGGGTGTGGGCGTGTGGGTGCGTGTATGCGTGTGTGCGTGTGCCTGTTCTCCTGTGTCTGTGCGTCTGTCTCTCTGTGGGTCTGTGTGTGTGTGTGTGTCTGTTCGTGTGTCAAAACTACAGAGCCATTTCAAAACCGTTGCGAAGTTATGAAGTGTTTAGCCGGGGGATATCCAAAACAAATCGATTTTCCGCCCGTCTTTCGAGTAAGGAAGATTCATGGGGCCCTTAGCTTGCCAGAGCATACGAGGCGATGGGTTCTCCCAAGCTCTTTCTCCCCAGCCGATTGGTTGGCCTTTTGACCCGAGTTGGATTCCCTGCTCCAAAGACCCGACACTAGAGCTTCGGTCCCAGATAGACCTCAGGAACGTGTTTACGTGGTTTGAGCATACGGCTCAGAGCCAAACAAACCGGAAAGTCAAACCCCTTCCGTGGCAAGCCCCCCCTTCTGTGGATGGACGAAATCCTGCACCACCCAAGAAACCCTGGAATTATGATTCACCTGTAAATACCAACAAACCTTGTGGTTTCAACCATGGTTTCATTCCGAGGTGCGAAATGGATTTTGTCCATCCACAGCATCATTCTGCCTAATTTCTAACTACCAAAACGAGTTGCCTTTGGACCTTTCCGGGGCCCCGCTCCCCGCCCAGCCCCGGTCCCAGGGCCGCAGGGCGCATCGATGTCCCACACCACAGCGCCCTCCGGAGCTGAGCCTCTCGCCGCGCTCGATCCGCGGAGCGAGTCCGAAAAAGGGCTCGAGGGGTCGGGCGATTTTCATCCTGGTTCCTTCCAATTCCGTTCTTTCCAGAGCTGGTTCTTGCAAAGAACGATGGTTGAAAACAATGGAACCGGGTCCAACCCCTAGAATCCTACATGCTGAATAGGTGGTCGGGACAAATGGTAGGAGTGATGCCCCAACTTAGATGATGACCATGCTGAACGGCAAACCTTTCTGGTGGTTCTATTCACCCAACCAGGGGTTTTCACTGGTGGCCTGCCCGAACACGGCATATCTTCAAACCTGGGCTGCCCTCAGATCCCGCGCTAAAAGTGACCAACTTTTGGTGGGTTAAATATGGAAATCCAACCACTAAACCAACTAAAAGGCTCGAAAAAGCTGAGGGACCGAAAAGCTAAGGGAGCCGCCAACGAGCCTCCCCCGCCAAAAGTTGCCGCCGGAGGCGCCGATGAAGCCGCCCCCCTCGGACTCGAAGCACCGGCCGCCCAAGGAGCTCACCTGCAGCGGGGGGGGGGGCGCGGAGTGGTCGTGGGTCCGCGTTCGGACGCCCCGGGGTCCCAGTGGATCCGGGTTGGGGTGGGGTGGGCTTGGTTGGGTGGGTTGGGGTGGGTGGTGGGTGGGTGAGTTGGGGGTGGGGCGGGGTTGGATCGATTTACCTGTAAGGTAACCAAGGGCTGGAACCAAAAGGAAATAACTGGTTACCGACTGCGGGAACCAAGATCCACTGGGCCAAGGTAGACTAAAACCTGGCTTTTGCCTGTTGGGAAATCAACCGCCCTGAAGTCTGCTTGCATGGAACTCTGGCGATGGAACCCGTAGTAGCAAGGTTAACCCCACGATAAGGGGGACTTATGTCACCGATTGGCGTTTGGGGTACACAGAAATAACATGTTGTTCTTTGATATCCAGTCTACCCTACGGAGGAGACCCCCCGAGTAAATCCAACAAATAAACAACAAATTGGCGCGGGCTGAGAAGCAGAAGCAAAAACTAACAAACAAACTGAAGCACCCCGCAAGACTGGTGCGGCCGAACCATCACGCACAGACTAGCTAGCTGCCTTGTCACCCGGTTAAGCTAGCAACAAAAACGAGTGCACTTCTTAGCAACAAAGAGGGCAGAACTAGCTAGCTAACTAGCTAGCGAGCTGCTAGCTTGCTGGCAATCTGAACGCTCACACACTCACACATGCATACCTACATAACGTTGCCTTACATTACAAATTTCATTACATTGCACCGCATTGCATACATATATACACACAATTTGCACACCTACACGCACGCATGCATTGCATGCATACACACACATAAGCAGATTGCACGCATGCACTGGCACCCGTTTTTTGTTGGGCGACCACAACCCCCCCCCCCGCGCCGCTTGCGCCGAGGCGCACTGCCCAGGGACTTGGGCAAAGACGCGGCCTCGACGCCGAGGGCCAGGCCAAGGGCCTCGTGTCGGAAGAGGCCCCCGCCCCCCACCCACCCCCCCCCCCGCAGCTGCCTTGGTCCCTCGCTTTTTTTTGCCTGCGGTTTGGGGGATGTTGGAGTTGTGGGAACTTATCAACAGGGAGCTTGTTGCCCACAAAAGGAAACGCCTCTGAAAGTGATGGCAGCATATCATGGAAGTGGGCGGGAGGGTTTTGAAAAACTACCATCATCTCAAATAGGCCGGCAGCTATCCACTACCATTCGAGCGGGGAATTAGTACTGGCCTCATCTTTTATTGGCTTAAGGGGCCAACAAAAACGGCCATCACTGTGTCCTTTACGACCACTGAGGCACAAGTAAAGCATCACCTTACGCAAACCGAATTCATTGGATGGTCAAGAACACTTGGTCAGTTCAGCTCTCTCTCCTTGCAGGAATGTGCTGTTCTGGGCAATCAGGGTGGCCAAACTGCTGCATCAAAACACCGGAAATCACGGATGAAAAGGACTTCTATCACGGTAAACTCGTTTTCCCCCCTTTCTCCTTGCAACGCAGTAGGCAGACACAGTGAGGTTTCCTTGTTTGTCAGGCTGCAACTAGCCGGCATCACCCATAACTCTCTTGGCGCTCTCTTAGCAGAATCCGCTTGGATTCGGCATCCAAACGGCCGAAGCAGACCCTGAATGGAGAGGTGGAGGCCCGATCTGCGCCGAGCAAACCAAAGGCTAGGCATCCTTCCATGGACACTTGGCGCTATTTTGCTTGACTGAACCTAAAAAAGGCAGTGAAGGGCAGTGGTCGTGGGTGAGTCTTAAATCGGAGTCTCTCAAAATGGATCTCTTTTTAGTTGGTCTTGAAAGGGAAACCTGTAGGAAACCAACCAGTTTAGAAACCCCGACCAATTCTTGCCACCCCCACCCCAACTCGAAGGCGCCCCGGCAGCACGCCCCGCGCGGAGCATGGCGAAAGGGCGCGCGATGAAATGCGCCCGCCCGCCCGCCGAAAGGCTGAGAGCTGCCGCGGATGCGCTCAGAAAAACGCCCGGAGGTTGCATAAAGCACTCGCGTCAAATTGTCCCAGAGCCTCAAGCAAACCCCCTCAAGACACTCCAAAAGAGTATCCAACAGTCAGGCCTGAAGCAAACACCCTTAAAGACACCCACAAAAAAGCATCACTCTGCAGACAGGTGTCGCCGGCGCGTTTGCCTCGCAGCGCATACACCTCATTTGCGTGAAGCGCAAAGGAAAACAGCACCCACTGAGCACTTCTGGAAGAAAGCCTGGTTTTGGAAGTTGCCTTTTTCTGTGACAAAATGGTTGACCCCCTTACTAATGATCTCCTTCAAGGGATTCCCCAAGCCTATCGCAGAACATTGCCCCCAAGCCCAAATTCCCAGCAGCCGGCCTCGCGCCGACTCAGGGCTCCCGATATTTCCGCTGCCATCGCACCAAAAGGAAACACACGCAAGAAGACCAAAAGGTGAAGCCACCCCTCTTTTGGTGGATTTAAGGGAAACAACCCGCAATTCTGAGAAGTCCTCAACATGTTCACAAGGGGATGGGTCAAATTAAACCAGCAAGAAACCGCAAGTTTTAGTCCTTGGTTCCATTTAGCAGGGCAAGCCATTTTGGGTACCCATTTTTGACCCACAGCCACAACAACCCCATGGCCCCAAATACCAGAGAGCTCAGCAATCCGCCAGGGCACGTGCACGTTCTCGGGGTATTGCGGGTCCCACTTCCTCGGCGCGGACCGCTCTTGGTCCGCGGTCCAGTGCCCCCCAAATGTTTGAGGCATGTCCACTGATGAAACATCCCAAGGTCCTTTTGGGTAAATCAACCACCGGGTCTAAGTCTACCAGTCCAAAGGTTGATGGGCTGAATTCGACTCCAAGGCTTCAGGCCCGAACTGGCCATTGGACCACATGGAGTTGACTCAACTTTGGCAAATGTTTGGACTGTTTCTGAGCGGTGAGTGTACGGGTCGAAATCAAACAGGCCATCGCACAAGCGGTTTCGCGCTCCCAAAAGCCCAACCCCTTCCTACCCACCCCGTTGACGAATGTGTTTTTTGGGTTGTGGGTTTGTCTTCTTTGGTTACCCCTGTTGGGCTTGGTTCAAGGGGAAACCATTGGAAAACCACTAGTCTTCCCCATTCTGGCGTGCGTTCCTCCATTGGGGTATGTATCAGAACAGGGGACCATAAAAATACTGTTTCTTGCTTTTGGCTTCCCTTTAGTCCTGGCCCCTTTGCCGGACATCATGTAGGTGGGGATTCACGTCCACCACTTTTGAGGTGGTTCCCTGCTGAAATTCCTTCCCGCATATCAACCGTCCCCATGTCCAATTTCGTTCGGGCGACTCGTAGGCAACGAGGAAGCTGTTCATGGGTGAGAAGTACAAGGCGCGCACGCCCCCGGCCCGGCCCTGCACATCCGGCGCCACCTCGTAACGGAAACGTCTGAACGGAAACGTCGAGAAGGTGAGGGGTTGGGGGTTACAGAGAGGTCTCAAAAAAAGGGGACCCCAAAAAACCATGAGGAACAACATGAAGGCAAACGAAAGATACCCGGCATATATAAAGCTCCCCTGCACACCTTCTCCGCTAACAAGACACACCCAAATACGAACAGAGCCAAAGCCAACATCATAAATCAAGACACAGCAAGAGTGCAAGACTCACTTGACCCCCTCCTTCTCCCTCCTTCATTCCCCCCTTGAGAAAGTGCACCTTCTCACTCATCCCCCTCCTTCCCCAACTTTCTGGCCGGAAAAATCCCTGGCGACCTTTGTTTTGCATGAAATCCCTAACCCGTACCCACCTTCTCCAGCTCCCGCACCACTGCGTAGCCATTGGTGGCGTCGTACACTTTCACCCCGTCCTCACTCACCGAGCCCAGCAGCGTGCCATCCTCACCTCGAAAGCTGGTCAAGGGCACCCCCGAGATAGCAAGGGGTCTCCCCATTTCCCCACCCCTGATTTGTGGCGTCCGGGTAATATGCGAGGGTAGCACTGGGCGGCAAAGTAGGGGCTTGGACCGACCTTTTGGTCTCCCATTTTAACCGAAAAAGAGGGGTGCCGAGTGCCGTCCCGATAAAACACAAGCCCGCGGCAAGAAGGGCAACCCCTCCTCTTGTGACAATCCGACTTGAGCCGTTTCTGGACTCCTGTCTAGGGCAACTTGTGACTCTCTCTCTCCCTCCCTCTCTCTCTCTCTCTATCCCAGGCCAGCATATTCTGCTACCACTAGCATGGAACCTCAAGGAGGCTAAAGAAGCCTTCCAGCAAATGAAGAAACCTATAGTCATATTTTGGAACCTTCAAAAAACCGGAAGGCCCCTGAAGCATGCCGTCATGGAGACTCCAGGTAAAGGTTTCAATGAGTCTCCAGTCGAAGCATCATGTTCGTTTCAGGCTCGGGTACTCACGTCACAGCCGTTTCCGAGTTTGGGCAACTCAACGTTTGGGCGATTCTCGTTGGTTGTAGAGTCGCTGGGTACAACCCTTTATAGCCCGCCATAACCCTTGCAACCCAAATTATCCTGATGATCCTTTCATGATATGGATAAGGAAGAGTGGTGGGAAAATGCAAAAAAGAAAAACACCTTACAACAGGCTCTGACCCGTTCAAGCCGTTTGCCCGCGTAGCCCGGTACAACCCATAGAACCCACACGTTAAGGGCTTTCATAGATAGAAAGGGGTTGTGGGGAGCTTTAAAAGCAACTGTAGGCATGATTGATTTGAGCAAACTATGAGTAATTGTAAGTGAGCTACATTCAAAGTAATTCTGTGTATGTATATATATATATACATATATATATATATATGGGGGGGGGGTGATTGAAAGGTCCTGCACATGGGATGACAATTGAAAGCCGCCATAAAGATGATGCATCCCACAAAATGGGAAAAATAACTGGCCATGGTCATTTGCGGGCCCTAAACAGAATATTGATCAACCGAACCTTTTTAGTTTATGCGTATCTCACAAACGTGCTGCCCTCCCACCGATTAACATGGAACCTGACATAAAAGGGGGGGTCCTAGTTTGGGCCATGTTCCTTTTGAAGGGACCGGTAAAAAAAAAAGGTCCAAACTGGGGGCCCTAAATGGAATGTTGATCACCCCCCCCTTTTCACCCCCCCTCCTTTTGTAGCCCTCAACTAAACGGTAGGAAGTAAATGGGAAACCACCCCTGCCCCTAACCCCTAAACCGCCAATCCAAACCACTTGCCGAAACAGAATCGACCTTTCAACCTGTCGGTTTCCTGATGTGGTCCATGACTGATCCCAAAAGGCAGGAGACTTCGCTTTTCCAACTGCTTCCCTCCGGAAACGCCGCTTTGACCCATGGAATATTCAACCAACTCCCCCCCCTTTCAAGGGGTAATTCGTTCTTGGGTAATCTCAAAGCTGCAAAACTCAGATTTTGGTTGCTGTTGACCCCCCTGCAAAAAGTTTATCACTTTTTGGGGGGTTCGTGGAAAACACCCTTTATTTCGCAAAAAGTTAAAGTCTAAAGATCCAAACCCCCCCCCCCTTTTCTCGGGTAATTCGTTCCATGGGTAATCCCACACCTGCGAAGCTCAGATTTCGCCCCACGAACGACCCCCGCGGAATACTCCGAGGCGCTCCAGGCGAAGCCAAAGGCGTTGGGCGGGCATGACATGGACCTCGACTCGAGCCACCGGAGGAGGCCTATGGAAGGAAACCCCCTCGTTGGTTGAATTTAGTCCACGAAAACCTAGGAAAAACACCTGCACCATTCAATGAACCCCCATTTTGGTTTAAACAAAAAAACAAACTTGACTTTCACAGGGATCCCCTCAAAAAAAATAAGAGAGAAACAGCCACATGCTTCGCTCAGATGTACAGATGCTGCGCGATCCGACGCCGGGGCACGCCACCACCTTCACCTGGCGCCCATCTGCGCAGCGGCCAGAGCTCCAGTTGCCGCCTCGGGGCGTGCCCCGAGCGCAGGTGAAGCGACTGGCATGCCCTGGCACTTGTGGTCGGATAAAGACCTGGTTTGCAGCATGGAGCTCGAAACAGATGTGGATGGTTGTGTGTGCTACCATCATTTCACCTGCTTTCTGGGCCCCCTGACCAAGCCAGTGAATCCCAGTTTCCCTTGTAGCAGGTCACCAACAACTTTCCTTTCGTTCATTTTCAAGGCCAGAAACCCGGCGAAAGGCGACAAACCAAGCCCCCCCTCGCGGCACCCCCCCCCCCCGATGGCAGTCCCTGGCCGCTCATTCGCTGGGCCAAAGGGCGGTCATTCTTGGGCTCCTCCACCTGAAGGGCCCACCCCACTGGCTCTCGGTACGTCGGTGTGAAGGTCTAAAGCTTGCAACGCTGAAGGAGACGAAAGGGAAACCACCCACCTATGGGTTCCCACATTCATACACAAACCCGGATGATGTCAATAAATATATATATATATATATAATATACACATTCATACACAAACCCGGACGGTTTCAATAAATCTGTATGTATATATATATATATATGTATATATGCAACTGTCTAGCTACATAATAAACCTTTCCTATACCCATTATGCAGGTGGGCCTCTACTTACCAGGGGCACCTCTCCAATATTATTCGGCCCGTGCAAAGGGATACCTGAAGGAGCTGATTCGCAAATAGCAATCAGCCGCCATGTTGAGTTCATTCGCATGCTGAGGGTATCATGATTTCTGGCATGGTTCAATTGACGCCTGGCAAGTGCTCGCATTCTTCCACTTGAGAAAGCGTCCAATTGGCTCATTGAGCCGCAAATGAAGTCTGTTGAGAGATACCAACCAAAAACATCTTCAAAATCCAAGAACACAAGGTTTGGGTTGGGACAGGTCCCAACAAACCGACTCTGGCGTCCGTCCTGTTGAATTGGCATAGTTTCAGGAATCCCTTACCACGGTAAACCTTGGTCGAACCCTGTACATTTTTTTGGAAAGGCGATCTGAAAAGGAAATGGGAACCAACACGTACTCACGGTTTCTTAATTGGGAGGGCGCGTTGAAAAAGCAGAAGGACAAGAAGAGGAAACCCAGCACAAAGTTGGAAGGAACCCAAATAAGACATCAGCGAGCAAGGGTTGCTTTCACCATCATGGACACCCCAGATGTAAGAAGATTTCCTGATTGATGTTGGGAGTGTCCCCTTTAGGGTTCATTGGAGGGAACAACCCACATGTGAGTTGTTGGGAATTCGTTGGAGAGAACGCCCTGTTAATTGGACGGGTTCTACTTACATCCGGGCTCAGTTGCTTTGGAAGAAAGAAATGTTCAGTAGTGATAGCTTCCCTTGAAACCAACAGGGAAGATAAAACATATCCTTAAACGGATGGAACAAGTTTCACCATGCTGCGGATGGGTAACATCCTGCACCACCCAACAAAAATCCTAGAATGATTCTATGCCTCTGTAAAACCAACAAACGGTATTGTTGAATTTTCCACGGCTTCGTTTCGATTTGGCCACCATCCACAGTAGGTCTTCGTCCTTCCCCCCCGTCCCCGGTGAGATTGGTCTGGCCCATGCCTGGGAGGCGTCGTAAACGATCAGGCCATCCTTCGTCGCAGCAACGAATTCCTCGGCAAGCGGAAAGGAGCCAAAATGGGTTGCCCTGGTAAGTGGAAACATGGACCAAAACGTAGACCTGATGGGAATAGATGGCCCTGGTTGGAGGAACCCATCTAAACCGGTGGAACCCATCTATCGACCGAACTAGCCTAGACAGGACACCTATGGTTGGAAGATTGGGTTAGCTACTGACTTTGGTTTGGCGCACGCCAGGCTTTTCGAACCGTACAGACCATCAGAAGGAGAAGAGGGGAGGAAGTGGGAAGGCCCTATTTAAGATTGACCTGGCTGCGTTTTCCTTTGCGGCAATCCTACAAACAAGAAAACATCACTGGGAGCCTGGGAAGCGGCTTTGAGTGGATGCGGCCGGCCGAGCATTCAAGGGCTCCAGTACCTTCAATTCAAGCACTTTCCAGTCAGAACTGTTCCCTTACACTCCCTCAGACTAACAGTCAGAAGCTCCCCAGAAGGCCGATCCTGTAAATGGAACAGTCTTCCATTTCGGGCTTGCTTGCTGAAACAGCCTGGTCGGTCACTTGAAGTCGGCGCCCAAGTCTGCAAATGTAAAGACTGGCCATTGAAGTCCTAGCCCCACCATATATATATATATATATATATATGTATATATATATATACCGCAATGAGTATATATATATATATATGTATACATTAACATCTCTAAATGTGCACATGTACATTGATGATGTGGATTTGGTTTGAAGGTTGGGGGGGTCCCATTTACCCTTGAGAGCCACCAGCCCGCCAAAAAATCTCACCCGAACCTCCAACCGGGGTAACCTGAATACAGGTTGGGGAGGGGGGGTCCCATTTCCTGAAAGAGCTTCAAAACAATCCAAACCAAGCCACATCCGAATCCACAACCAAATCCACATCCGCCTCCAAATCCGCATCCATATCCAAATCCCAACCTCAACCCAAATTGGGTAACCTAGGGGGGTTCCATATCCAATCCACATCCGAATCCACATCCGAATCCGAATCCAATCCCAATCCTCAACCCAACTGGTAACCTAGGGGGTTCCCATATCCAAATCCGCCTCCAAAATCCCAACCTCAACCCAACTGCTGCCCAAGCGCCATGGCTCGCCTCGGGGGCCCCGAGCCCCTCGATCCATGAACAGCGGAGTGCGGAGTGCGGAGCTGAGCTCACGAATCCGGGGACCCGAGCGCTTGGCGGGGGGGGGGGGGCGGTTTCCCGGAAACGGGGTAGCCTCCAAAGAAAGGCACCCCCATACCTCTTCTTTTGTACTTTTTTGGGGGGGTTGTTTTGGGTGAGTTCCTTTGGAAGTGAGGTGATTCCGGATCTCTTTTGTGTCGATCGCCTTTGGGCAAAAGCAGGGAGGGGGCTTGGTGTACGGCAACTCATTTTGAGGTTGAAGGGCAACCCACTGGAAAAGGCCCCACTTTGGCAATTCCTCTCCTGCGGTCCAAGTAGAAACCTATTCTGCCTGCGCACTAGCAGATGAGAAACAACGGACAACGCCCTTCCAGCGAGCGACTGGGCAAAGGGAACTGAGCAGCGCCCAAACCCCCTGTCCTTGGGTCTACCAACATGGTGCTGGCAGTACTATATCCATCTTGGGCTTTACGTTTGGTTTTTCTGGGCGTCTTCCCTGGTAGGGGGGGGGCTCTTGATTCTTTTTTGGGGGGAGAATGTAACTTTCCTTCTGGCTTTCAAGCGAAAACCACCAAGGATAGGTACCCTCGGAAGCAAAAGACATTCTTGATGCGCACAGTCAAAAGGCCCTGCACTTTGGCGCCAGCGAAGCCCGCGTGCAACTCGATCTCTTTTTGTTTAGCACTTTCCGGCTTCTTCTTTGCCGGACCCGGGCGTGTCCAGGGTCGGCAATGGACTCGCAGTGGGCCGACTTGCCACTTGTGAGCCCACCAATCTAAGCTATTTCCGGAGTGCTTGGGGGTGCTCTGCATGTCATATGTCATATGAGCCACGGCCACAGTGTGACGCTTCCATGCACGACGCAGATGACTACTGAGTCAGATATGTCAATGTATACATATATACATATATGCTCACCACCACCCCGCTCGCAGGGCCTACCTTTCCACTTCAAAATGCGCAAGATCCTCTTATTTGAAAGACAGGGGGTGTGAGCAAATATACGCAAGAAGTGTGCTGTTGTTGCATTTTTGTGGGTGACAAGTCTGTTGACAAACAACAGCGAAGAGTTTATATACTTTCAAGAAAGATTATAAACTATGTCCAGGGTTTGACGGCTTCCCTGCAACTGCAACAAGGCAACATCTGGCAACACCTGGCAACACCTGGCAACACCTGGCAACACCTGGGCACCTGGGGGGAGGTTGAGAAGTCTGGGACAGGAGGGAGGGGGGGGAGTGGGGGGAGAAGTTCCAGCCCCCTTCCCCCCCATCCCCCCCCCAACTTCCAAACCCCCCCCTTTTCAAGGATGCCATGACCATGAAGACTTCCCAGGGTGTTGCCTTGTTGCAGGAAACCGCCAAACACTCAAGAAGGTTAATAAACTTTCCTGCAAGTTTATAAACCTTATGTAGGCTTAATGCGTAGCAAATGGATACTGTTGTTTGGGGAAAACATGTTGTTTGGGAAAAGAAACAATCTTCGGCCCAAGGGAACACAATCTGAGCAATTTCTGCAAAACACCGCGTTGTTAAGCATTTTGTTGGATCTCTAATCCCTTGACATGTCCATTTTCAAAAACCCTGAAACCTAGAATCTGGAGATCAGAATCCTCGAAATGTCTAGCGTTGGATGCTCCAAGCTTCAAAAAAATTGGAACCGGGAGTCCTCCAACATGTCAAATATAGATTCCTTTCCAAGTACTGCGAATTGAATTGGAATGTTGGAAGGAAAAATGTTTAGGGGAAAAACAATGTTGGTTGCAAGGGAACACAATCTGAGCAATTTCTCCAAAACGCTGTATTTTACAGCATTTTGTTGGATCTCGAATCCCTTGACATGTCCATTTTGAAACACCTGAAACCTAGAATCTGGAGATCAGAACCCGAGAGCTGTCTAATGTTGGGTTCTCCAAACCTCAATAGAATTTAGTAAGGACAGAGTTCGCCACAATTCATAAGTCACCATTTCAGTAGAGTTTGACAGAATTCAATTGGCTTTTGAACAGACCAAAAATCCCTTCCCAAACAGGACTTAAATTGGAATAGAGCTTAATCTGGAAAGAAACCACTTGGCCAAACACATTTTAGTAGTAACTCATTCCCAAATATGATTTAGATGGAACGTGGCTAAACAAATACTGGGCAAATATCCCCAGACTCCCAAAATTGGTCTGGACATTTGTTTGGCATATGCAGGTCACAGAGCTTTCATTTTCAATAAATTGTGTGCTTTTGGGTCTGTTCAGGTTGCAGAGCTCAAAGCTGCGAAAAAATAGTTCAATGGTTTTACCCTGGTGTACTCAAAACCACCGTAAAAACCAGTCGTTTCAAACAAAGCCAGACTCGAATCTGAAAACGGATTCCGTTTTTGCGTTGTTGTTTTTCAAGCTTAAACAAAGCAAGCATTTGCTGTCATATAGAAGGTAACACACCAACAAAAACACTGTATTTTGCTGTGTTTTCAGGCATCTGCAAGAACGAGGCACACGGAGTAGACTTGACACCTTGAACTAGAAGAGAGGAAAGGTAGGCCCGGGGGGGGGGGATGTACAAGCAAACGTATACATGCATGGGTACATACATATCTCAAAGCGGATCGGATCCACCCCTAGCCCTGCGCAAGCTGGGCTCTCGGAATAACGTTGACACCTATGCCCTTCCCCAACATTGCTGACTTTGGCGATTCCCTCCAAAGAACATCCTGCCTTGCTGTCAAAACTCAGAACCCATCTATCCCCATCCATCCCCTTCAGACCGATTCTGCATGGCACCGATTTTTTCTCTCAAAGGCCACCCAAAGACTGGCATGAGCGACACGGTTTTGCACTCGCAACCACTCCTCTGGGGAGAATGCTTCTGGAGGCTCGGTACCAGGCGAAAGGAATCCAAAAGAATTCCACCACCAATTTGGGGGAGTCTGTTGGGCAAAAAACATATCTATCTTATATATTATATATTATATATATATATTCATATATATATATATACACTATCTTGTCACTTTCGCTTGTTCGCTTTGGCTTGCCGTCCGGCCTCGAATCGCTAAAGCGTCAGTGGCCGCTCCAGTTGCAGCTGCCCTTGCCGCCGTGAGCGCAGACTACCGTTCCTGAGCGAAGCCCCGGCCGCAGTTTGTATCATCCGGAGGCCGGAGGTCGCTTCAAAAGGCAAACTGCCACATCCATAGCCACTCCATATGTAAGATCCCCCTAAAAAGGAAAAAAGAAGCCCTGTTAGCCCACTTCATGTGTAGGATCCCCAAAAAAAGAAAAAAAGGAGCCCCTGTTGTTAGCCCCTGCTAGGCCTCAGTGGTCGCTGCTGGCCCCTCAAGAGGGATATTGGGGGGCCCAACCTGAGGGCCCGGCTGAAAGGCCCTTGACAACCATAGGACATCATGTGACTTCCTTTCGTCAACAAACCCTTCCATCCAAGAACATGGAAAAAAAAACTACGAACCTTCAACCGAATGTCGGGTTGCTCTTTCCGAACATCAACTTGATCCCTGGTGCAATCATGGCCCTGGCTCAAAGCGGCGGACTACTTGGATGAAAGGGAACCCCTTGGCTCAAAAGTAGGCTGGAGAAGCCCTCGAAATTCTGCTCCTTTTGCGCCCACCCTCAAAATCGCCTTTTGCGATCGCTTTTTTGGCATCCACTTTTGGCTATCTAGGCACACTCAAATTCAAGATACACAGCTTTCAGCATCGGGGCTCAAGCATACAACTGCCAACATGCGGGTCGCCAAAATGACGATCCAGGACCCAGAACAACCATGCACGATGACTCTAACAGGGTTTAACTACCACCAAGAACATGGTGTGGGGGAGGTGTATTTATGGTACCCTTTTCAGGTTGGTTTGAAAGGAATCCAACAGCAAAACAGCCATTTTGAGGCTCCAAATCCAGCACCACCTGAGAAACTCTGGACTGATGATGCCCTTGTAAATACCAACAAACGTTGTGGTTTCAACCATGTTTCAAAGTGGTGCGAAATTAATTTCGCAACCATCCGCAGTATGTTCGCGTGATCCATACCCATTTGGGGGTTGATCGAAAGGTCCTTTGTCCGGGAAGACCATTGGGAAACACCACTCAAAAGGATGACATTTCCCAAACGGGGACAAAGCTACCCATGGTCATTTGGGGACCCCTGAATGGAATATCAGGATCAACCCCCCCCCCATTTCTCATCCACCCGAGCTTGACTGGGGTCATTATTTTGCCGGTTTCCAGGAGTTATCAAAGTCAGAAAATGGGGTTGTTTCCCTTTAACCCGCCACTAAGGGGATGACTTTGATCATGGTAAAATAATGAGGCCAGCTTGAGAAAACAAAGCAAAACAAAACAAACAAACAAACAAAAGGCGCTGAGGCTCGGCAGACGCTGCAGTCTTTCATGTAATTCCAGCATCGCTGCCATGGCGCCAGCCAGCCTTCGCTTCTTCGCTTCGCTTCGAGTTGAAAAACGGACACAAAGGCGACTCGGCGTGCCGCTGGATATTTGGCCCGCCCGCAAAAGGGGAAGAGGCAGAAATGCGCCTGCCAATACAGGCACCCGAAGAAAAAAAAATGAAAAAAAAGGAACAAAAAAGGAAAACAAGCGGTTGAGAAATAATAGACAAACAGAAATGGGAATGGTCCACCAATTGATGTGCTGTACATCAGCATGTTCGTGAGGAACAATCGATGGCTTTGTTGGGTGGTTCTTGGCGGTTTGGAGGTTGGCGGCTGCCCATTTATCCTCTGTAACGGCGGCGAATCCCCCAAACCCATCCAGGCTGAGCGAAATTCCTAGCCCAAACTGTGCCTTCACATTCTGGGAGTTGTCAAACAAACAAACCATGTGGATGGACAAAAACCTGCACCAGTTGCTTGGCGGTTTCTTGCATAGGGTGTCTGGTGCGAAAATGAATGCGGTGCATCTGTGAGAGTGTCGAAGTCGGAGAGGATGTGTCAAAATAGGAATTTGGACCCCATAATTCAAACCAACTTTGAATCAGGTACCGTCAAGAATCTCACCTTATGAAAGAGTCTAAAACGAGACGTCAAAGACGGAAGTTCATGTCCGTCTGACCCAAAAGGTGTCAAATCACCCCAAAATGGGGGACATGTTGCGGGGGGGGGGGAGCGAACAGGTGGGGAACTACCCTACCAAACATGGACGACCCTTTCCCAGGGGAAAGATTTGGTCTTCAGGGCAATTCTGAGGTTTGACCCCCGCCCCAGGAAAACGAGGGCAATCTGGAGATCCAAATAAGCATCCCAAACCTGAGATCAAAGCAACAAAACGAATGTCGGCGTGTCTTAAATGCAACTCGGAACCCCCAAAAAAAGTGGTGGCTTCCCTTGAAAGATGTTAAAAAGGATAGAAGTGGGGCTTAACTTACAATTTCGTAAGTTTGGTTGTAGGCTCACCTGCCTTCAAGTTCTTGTGCCGAAAATACAAGTTTCTTGTGCCAAAAACTGGTTCCTTTTTCGCCCCGGGTTTCTGGCAACATCTCTCACTTGGCATGCTTGTTCTCTTGGAGCACATGGACTGTTTGCCTCTTGCACTCCTGCAGCCTGTCTGCTGCCAGTTCCCTCAACCAACCACCCTCAACCGCTCCACAGGGAAAGCGTGGACCATGATGGGTGGGAAGTGGGGGGGAAACACGTGTGGCTGTGTGCCCAAACTAAGAACCTCCTTTGGTTGGCGTACGAAAGGGGTGCACATGTTGTTTGACACCCATCCCTTTCCACGGACGGGGTTTGTCCCATGTTCCAAACGCTTGAATTTCCCCACCCCGTCTGGTTTGCCATGTAGAATCAGCAGTTCCAATAGAACAAAGCGAAAGGCCCCCCTCCAAGGGCTGTCCTGCAAGGAGGGCAATAGAAGAACCCCCGGTGCAGGCAGCTTTTCGGTCGGCCGTGGGGGAAAAACCCAACACAAATCACCGCAACCGACCGAAAGCTTCGGTTCTCCGTCTCGTCCGCCTGAAGGCGCATAGGGCCGCACCAACGTGCACTTGTGCCAGTCACTGAAGGTCGCCGCCTCGAGAATTGCCACGGAAGTGGGCGTGGCCTTCCCTTAATGGGTCTCAAGAAGGGATTGAAATCCCGCCGGTTTCAAATCCAAACCCCAATGCCCAAAGTCCAAAAGGAAAAAAAAAGACAGCTTTCGCAAATGGCATGTCCCACTCAGGGAAGTTGAGCAGCCCATTGTGGAGGTGCAGAGGTACGCTTGGCCGAGCAGTATGCTTACCCAAGCCGTCAGGAGGGCTCCCCGGCCCGTTTCGCCTGCACCATCACCGGCAGCGCGACGTTCCCCGAGACGTAGCTACAGCAGCAGTTGGATTTCCCCTCACAGCTCGCAGGGGTCCTAAGGGTTGGGCGGTACCCATTGAAATACTGTGGATGGACAAAACCCATTTCGCACCATTTTGAAACCATGAGAAACCATAACGTTCGTTGGTGTTTACAGGGGAATCATCATTCCAGGGTTTCTTAGGTGGTGCAGGATTTCGTCCATCCACAGTATGGGCTACACTGTTGGAACACAAAGACTATCATGAGGAAACAACCTCTGTTTGGTTTCTTTAACGAAACAAACTTTGGGCTTCCTTTTGAAAGTAACCAGGTTCTCGTGCCCCCAAAGTGTTCCCTTTGGATTGCTTCTAGACCAACCTTGCGACGCATACCCGCAAAAACACGCTCGCGCACAGACACAGACACAGACACAAACACAGACACAGACCCGGCGAACCGACGCGCCGACGCGCCGACACACCGACGCACCGACGCACCGACGCACCGACGCACCGACAAACCGACACAGCGACACAGCGACACAGCGACATACCGACACACCGACACACCGACACCGACACACCGACACACCGACACACCGACACACCGACCCACAGACGCACAGACACACAGACACACAGACACACAGACACACAGACACACAGACGCACAGACGCACAGACACACAGACACACAGACGCACAGACGCACAGACGCACACACAGACGCACAGACGCACAGACGCACGCACAGACGCACAGACACACAGACGCACAGACGCACAGACGCACAGATGCACAGACGCACAGACCCACAGACGCACAAACCCACAGACGCACAAACCCACAGACGCAGAGACGCACAGAGGCACAGACGCACAGACGCACAGACGCACAGAGGCACAGACGCACAGACGCACAAACCCACAGACGCACAGACGCACAGACGCACAGAGGCACAGACGCACAAACGCACAGACACACATACGCACAGACCCACAGACACACAGACACAAACACACAGACACACAGACACACAGACACAACCACACATACACACGACACAACCACACACACGCAACCACGCACGCAACCACCACGCAACCACACCAGGAACCACACAGGCAACCGCACACCCACCCACCCACCCACCCACCCACCCACCCACCCACCCGCCCGCCCGCCCGCCCGCCCGCCCGCCCGCCCGCCCGCCCGCCCGCCCGCCCACCCACCCACCCACCCACCCACCCACCCACCCACAAAACAACCCAAACCAAACCAAACCAAATCCAAACCAAACCACTTCCAAACCAAACCAACCCAGCTCAACCCAAACTAAACCAAACCAAACCAACCCAAACCAACCCAAACCAAACCAAACCAATCCAAACCAATCCAAACCAAACCAAATCAATCCAAACCAACCCAACCCAAACCAAACCAAACCAAACCAAACCAATCCAAACCAATCCAAACCAAAGCAAACAAACAATCCAAACCAAACCAACCCAAACCCAAACCAAGCCAAATCGAAACACAATCAATCCAAACCAAACCAAACCCAAACCAAACCAAACCAATCCAAACCAATCCAAACCAAACCAAACCAACCCAAACCAACCCATGCCAAAGCAAACTAACCCAAACCAACCCAAACCAACCCCACCACACATATATATATATATACACACGCACACTTCGCAACCAACCAACCCGCTTCTCCCGTCCTGACTTCCCTGGCTGCGTCCATTTTCGTTTGCGCGGCCAGCAGATTGACATCGGCTGCCTCCTGCAGGTCCTCGGCCAGGCAACCGGCGCTGAAACCAACTCCTCTTGGCCTCCCAAACTAACGCTGGAATGATGATTCAAGAAATGAGACAGAACGTGAAGTGTCGGGAAAACGATTCAACCAGTCCCTTGTTTTCTAAGGGTTTCTAAAGGATGTCTTAGAGGGTCCTGAACGGTTCCTCTGGATTTGTAAAGGTTTTCAATTGGGGTCAGGGCGTGGGGTCCTATGAATGGTTCCGAAATCCGCTCTCAGGCACCGTTCAGAAACCTCTGTTGAAGGATGATTCCCCTGTAACCAGCAAACTTTATGGTTGCACATGGTGTCCAAGTGGTGAAGGATTCCACAGTATGTGCAGTAAAATATGTCTAAAAACAGGGGGCAACGAAAAACATTCAGCAAATGGAAGTAAACAAGCATTTAGCGAATGGAAGTAAAAGGGACAAAGATCTCCGGAACGAATCTATCAATTACATTTCGCCCCTGTCCTCGGCTTTCTCCTTGTCGGCCAGGCGCGACTCTAGGATCTTGGTCATCTCGTCCATGGTTCTGCCTCCGATCTCCACTGAACACCCCTCAACCGCGGCTTGGGGGAAAACCAAGAAAATTGGGTTGGGGGGCGAAGGGAGTTCAATGGCAATTGCCTTCCTTGTTTGGTACAATGCACCCCTTTGGATGTTGAACTAGCTCTATGAGGAGATTCTTACGAGGTCACCAGGTTTGGCCTCATTTGGGTAGGGGTACCACTTGTGAGAGAGTTGGAGGAAAAACCAGAAAACAAGGCTTTAGCCTGGATGGCCCCCTGGTTCACCCCATGTCCATGGGTATGGAAGCAGGACTGACCCAAGCGCCCTAGGGAAAACAGGGAAAGGGGCGCTCCCCCGCAAAAGAAGTTTTGCCAGTGAGCGATGGCCCAACCCTTTTAAAAATGGGAACGCCGATGTTCAGCCAAACTGACCTAGCCACAACCCTTGTTATTCCAAGGACAAAGGGAAACCCTATGTTTGTGCCAGGAAACAGGGATTCCCACTCAAACAACAGAGGGTGGCCTTTGCTTGTGGGGACGCCGATGTTCGGCCAAACTGACCTAGCCACAACCCTTGTTTTTGCAAGGAAAAATGGGAAGCCCAATGTTGGGCCAGGAAACGGTGGCTTGGAAGCAAAAATCAACGGCGAAAACACGGGCTAACGCTGGCTGCCCTGACAGGGGACCTTCTGGTCAGGTGTGGTGCTTGAGGAGGGAGGGGTACACCCATTACTCTCTACAAAAGCCAGGCAAAAAATTAAGAGGAGGGGGGCAAAACAAAACACGAGGGTAAAAAAACGTATCTAGGGCCCGGCCTTCTCCCTCGCTCATAAATGCCCTGCTCAATGAGGGGGAAGAAAGCGTGGCCAATGATGGATGACCAATGACAGAAATGTTTGAGAGGCAATTGCTTCACAAACCCCCCAAAAACCAATACCACACGCCACTCTTAGTTGCCCCTTAGGGATCCAGGGGCCCCTGTCAACAGAATGGGTTTCTGACTCCGGGGTGAACAGTTCTTTGTTTGTGCTCATGCAATGACCCCCTAAAACCCACCCCAAAACCGGTTCATTCCATCTCCCCTGGCAAGCAACACAAGTGACCACCAGCCAGTGACAAACTCTCACTTGATTCACTGGGCCCTCATGTTTTCCACCTTTGCCAGTTGCCGCTGATTGTTCTCTCGCCCAGGATGGCACAAAGAACCTGCTGTTTTGCGGCTCCCTGACCACCCGTGGACAGAAAACGCGCGGAAAAGGGAGAGGAGGGAGGGCATTACAAATCAAATCTCCACAGATCAAGCCTCAGACTGCGGCACTCTTCGGCTCGAGCGTTTGTCACTCCGCACAGCTTTGCTGGTGCTACACGACAAACTCGCATCGCTGAAGATGACTCGCACCCAGCTCACTTGATTCACTGGGCCCTCATGTTTTCCACCTTTGCCAGTTGCCGCTGAAGATGGTCTTGTTCTCTCGCCCAGGATGGCACAAAGAACCCGCTGTTTTGCGGCTCCCTGACCACCCATCCGGAGCCGCTATTCCCCATCATGCGAACGGTTAAGGGGAAAAGAAGCAGCCTGGAATTCAAGGGGCAGGAGATCATCGGGGCCACGTTCAGCAGCGTACTGCCCGTCGTCCGCAGCCCGCTGTAGGATCAACCAAAATCCAGCTAGGTTTCCCGCACTGGCAACCGTTTGCTGGAAACTGCAATGTGTAAGTCTCCCCTACTGGATCTGAGATGTTGCACTCGCTCGCGACCCACTGAAACTGTGGGCACCACTTGAGTTTGGCACACAAACCCCAAAACAGATAGATCGCACCTGTAGCCCTTCTGCAAAGCTGCCATACCAGCCTGGTTATCGCAGTACGCGACCCAGTATGTAGATAACGTGGCCGCAACAAGCTGAGCAGTGATTTCCAGCATGGCACAAAAACGCCTGATAATTCCTGCAGGCGCACTCCCCTGGCAGAAAACCACTTGATCTTGAGACCTTATCACAAAGCCCCAACCATTTCGGAAGTCCTGCGCTCGCCAAGGATCAGGCCAGCTTTGTGGTCTGATTCGGAAAGCGGCGTCTCCAGCCTGGAAAAACGCATCTGCGTACAGAACGGCCACATGGCAACTCTAGGGGAGGCGTTCTGTATGATCTTGCCGGTTGTCTGAAGACAAAGCTTGAGGGCTGGCGTCAGGCAATGTTGTGAGTGTTCATGGGCTCTGCGGTACAAAGGAGCCAGAATGGCCTTCCCTACATTCCCAAATAGGGCAGTAGTGACAAACATCAGCTTTCCTACAAGTTTGGACGCCGACTTGCTGTCCAAGCAATTGCTATGCAAAATGTCTTGGATTGTGCTTCTGAGTTTGGCAACCCGGGCAGGATCTGGGTGTATGATGATGGAGCCAGTACAAATTCCAGATAAACACCTTGTATCTTGTGTTGTTTTGCAGGTGGCTGCTCCTTGGGTGCCTTCAACTCAATCCCCAAAATCTGCATACACCGGCTGAATACTGAGAACGCCGAGCTGCAGTCACGGTCTGGGGCCACAGCACCAAGATCATCTGCGAAATGAATGAAATCAATGATGGCGTCGGCAATGCGGTTAAAATGCCACACTGAAGCTGCTGCCCCAAATGGCATACAATTGCGGCGGAAAAGAGCCGGCCTGAAGGCCTGAAGACTAGGCCTGGTGTGTCCACCGGACTGGCGCCTTCAAAGTCTTGTCCAAAAATGGAGCACTTCACTCCTGCAACTGCCAAGCACAACGCCATTTCCACATACACGTGAGAAGCGTGACGCTCAAACGCTCGGACAGTCGCATTGTGATGGCTCCAACGATAGTCTTCACATCGGCGGACCTTTTCCTGCCCGTCAGAGCTCAGAGAACTTCTGAAACTCCAGCGGAAACGCATAGCGATCATCACACCTCGGTTGCCAGCCAGGACCACGCCTAAGCTCTCCAAGCATGCGAGGAGCTCAATCAAAAACGGAATTTGCACCACCTTGCCCGACACAGGATTGCTATACGCTTTCCGCACGTGCCCAGGCAGAGAGAGGCCAGCCACTGCTGTGTCACACGCTGGCTGTTGCTAATTCAAGACTCAATGTCTTCTAGATTTTTTGCAAGTTCGGATTGAATGTGCTCCGGACTCTCTTGGACTTGTTGCAAAGTCGACTGCAGAGATGGCTCAAGAGGCAACAATGATGCTTGGCCCGAGCTGGCTGACCCCAGTGCTGCCACATGTCACTGGCTGGAGGAATGCTGGGCGCCAGTTGGACGAGCACTCCCTTGCCAGGGGCTGCCTTTTGTCACAAGCGCGCTGCAAGTGGCGCTGCAGGCGCTCGGGCATGCTGCTCGCTGCCCCGGCACTCTTAGACGCCGAGCGCAGCGCTAAGCATAAAAAGAACTTTGCAACCTTGACATGCCAGCTATTGCCCAGCAATCGGTGTCTGTCATCTTCGCTCACTCCTTCAACAGCTGTCCAACCCAGAGGGAAACCACGCAACTGCTCCTTCACTTCGGGAGGCGCTGTGACAAGCTGACCAGCAGTCCCGGTCTCTGCATAGCGCCAGGCAACCACCAGTTTCTGGTGGCGGAGTCAATCCTTCCTTTCATGGATCTGGGCGCTGCGCGACCATCCGGGCTGGTTGCCGGCGTGGTGAAACAAGCAAGCTTCTGCAAAAGTTTCTGGCAAGCCTGGCAGATTAACTAGAGTTGGAGCCCAGGCGTGCAACCCACCCACTCTAAGGCGTCTAGCAAGGCCGGAAAATCCCTCATGGGCCAAAACTGCGGCTCGAGCCTCAGACTGCGGTACTCTTCAGCTCGAGCATTTGTCACTCCGCACAGCTTTGCTGATGCTACACAAAAAACACTCCCACAACAGGGCCTCCCTATATTTCCCCTTCAGGCATCACACCCACCAAGAGACCCTCACATTTCATGGGCCAAAAAGGTGATGGTTTATAGTTTATTACCACCAAAAAAGGGGTATGCGGGTGTGGCTCAAAATTAAACAATCGGAGGGGCAAACCGCAGGTTTTGGTCCATACCAGAGCAACCAGTTTTGGTCCATTCCGGCTTTTTGAGCCACAGCTCCGCATCACGGGACCCCCCGGCATCACCGAAGGATCCATGCGGTGGACACCTCCCAATAATTTTCGCCACGGCGCTGTGCTCCTCGAAGGCTTCGTTCGCTCGCGTCAGCTTCTCCGTGGCCGTCTCCCGCTGCTGCAGCCGGGCCGAGCGGATGAGGCGCCAGGTGAGCTTGCTCGCCTGGACAAGCCGAGGTAACCAGCGAAGTAATAATCGATAAACAACAGGCAAAACCCGCAGAAAACATATATGAAACATCTTTTCAGAAATGAGACAGAACGTGAAGTGTCGGGAAACGATTCAAGCAGTCCCTGGTTTCCTCAGACCCTCTGAAGTATTTCTACCGGGGGAAAAACAAGTCCTGAATTTCTGTGGGTTTCTAAAGTTCTAAAGGATTTCTAAGAGGGTCCTGAACGTTTCCACTGGAGTTTTCAAGGGGGTTCCGCGCGTTGCGGGGTCCTACTGTGACAGGTTGCGAAATCTGCTTCTCGCAACACCGATCAACGGAAGGATGAATCAACGTAAATACTAACAACCATGGTTTCAAAGTGGCGCGGGGTTTCGTCCATCCACAGTAGTGGGCATTACTAGGGTTTCTTCAGAAAACGATCATCAACCCAGAGTTTGCCCCCCCCTACAATTGTTTAAACGACTGACCTCCGGTTCGCTGAGAGAAACAGCCGGTGTTCAAGCAAACTTTGCCCAGCCCTTCTGAGTGCAGAAAGTGGGTACATGTGATATTCGACATGGCCAAAATGCATCCGGTCAAATGGTCAGACGGAGAAGGGCAAACCATGGCTCAATGCTCCAAAAGGCGAACCCTTGGTACGCGGCAGGGCGAGATGTGGGTGCAAACTTTAATAGGTAAGACTGGTTGGCGGACAAGTAAGTCAAGCCCATCAAAAAAGGGACCCCGAAAAAGCAAAAACAACGCATCCCCATTCCAAAAAAAAAAACGCTGGTAAGCCAAAAGAGCTCACAGGTGGAAACTGGCAGAGTGTCAGGCGGCACTTCAGGCGGGTCCGAAGAAAGTTCTCCAGATGGCCAGCACCAGCCCAAGGCTCCAAGGACGGCCCCTTGTCTCGGCCCCCGCGCGTGCTCTGGACACCTTGAGTGTATCACCAAACCCTGAAACGCCCAAAGGTGGCACGAAAACCATCGGTGTTGCAACCAGTACCCTAAAAGGCCCTCCCCCCCCACGCACCCCCCCCACCCCAAAAACAAAAAAGGAAGGTGGTTGCAAGTCCCCACACATCCCCCACCAGCCCCAAGCCCACACAGCCCACAGCCCACGCGCCTGAATGGACGTCTCGCAGCTGGCCACGCAGTCGCCATTCTGGCAGTCCGCAAAGGTGAGCACCAGACAGCTCTTCATCTGCCGGGGGGAGGTGGGGAGGTGGGGAGAGGTGGGGAGGTGGAGGCCTAAGGATACCGATTTTGAGGGAACGCAAAGGAAACCCGACAAGTTCAAAAAAGGGTTGGGTTGTGCTTGAGAGCCGGATTTTCTGTGATGAAACCACGAACACGATAGTTCAAAAGCGATGGTCCAGAAACTAGCGCCCACCCCGCTTGCCTTTTCGCCGGCAGTTGCAGAGTCCAGGACCTGGATGTGCATGTGCTTCTCGTTCACCACAGGCCCCAGCAAGCAGCACCTGAGTTGCAAGTACCGTCGACAGAGGCAGCTGGGATGCACAAGTAAGCAAGTGTAAAAAGCCACTGCTATGGTGGTGGTTGTTTTTTGTAGCTGCTCTTCCTTCTTCATCGTCCTTTCATCTTTTACTTCTTTCTCTTCATTTTCTGTATCCACTTCTCGTCTCTTCTCTTCCGTTCACCCTTCGCTTCCCTCTACTTCCCTTCGCTTCCTTTCGTTTCTCGTCTCGTCTCGGCGCCTTTCCTCCACCGCCTTCTTCTCCTTATTTTTTCTTTTTACGATTCCTCTTCTTCTCCTCCTTCTTCTTTTGCTTCTTCACCGTGTTACTCTCCCTCCTCTTCATGCATGTTGAGTGTTGTTTGTTGCAGCACTGCACATTGGTTGTGTGTCTGTATGTGTGCGTGTGTGTGTGTGTGTGTGTTTGTTCACTGGTTGGCTGTTGTCTGCATGTACGTACGTACATACGTATTTAGGCATGTGTGTGTGTGTGCATGTCTGTCTGTCTGTCTGTCTGTCTGTCTGTCTGTCTGTCTGTCTGTCTGTCTGTCTGTCTGTCTGTCTGTCTGTCTGTCTGTCTGTCTGTCTGTCTGTCTGTCTGTCTGTCTGTCTGTCTGTCTGTCTGTCTGTCTGTCTGTCTGTCTGTCTGTCTGTCTGTCTGTCTGTCTGTCTGTCTGTCTGTCTGTCTGTCTGTCTGTCTCTCTCTCTCTCTCGTTAAAATCGGTGGTTACTTTGCTTACAAGTGCAAGTGCTGTAGTGTTCAAACAAACAGTCAACCAATGTAGTCTGCAGCTGCCAACCTTTTGACTCATGCGGAGTAGTAAGCTCAAGGCCTGCGGTAGTGAACATACATGCAACAAGAGTGCAAAGTGAAGCATGTAGTTTGACACGGCCCCTCAGTTAAAAGGTCTTTGTAGTACCTTTTCAACTGAAGTGCAAAACATGGATTGACAGTAGTGATGAAAACCATTGTTGTTCATCAATTCTACTGTATTGGCAAAAGTAGTGACCTGCGCTCAGTAGTTCACGCTGTTCAGGTTCCAGCTCGATGTAGGGCGCTGGACGGAAGTAGTGAAGGCAGGCACTCGTTGTAGTAGAGCAGGAGCTCAAAAATGTAGTCCCCATTTCTGGGTGCGGTAGGCTTGGACCATCTGTAGTCGACTGTCCAAGGTCGCGTAGTAGTTGGTGGTGAAAAAGGTTGTCATGTAGTTTGGAGCTCCCCGTAGTCGCTCATCATCAATCTCGGGACACGACATGTGTTGGTCGTAGTCCCGTAGAAAGCGGTGTAGTAGTGCTTTGTGGTGTTGTGTGAGGTTGGTCATTGTGAGTAGTGTGAATCCGTAGTATTGGATGCTTTTGCAGAGGATTGTAGTGATTGCTTTGTGCTGGAAGTCGTGTAGTTGGTCTCGGTTGTAAAGGTAATGGAGTAGTTCAGGTAGAAGTAGTGGCATGTGGTAATTCCAAACGTAGTTGTTCCTGAGGCTGTAGTTGTCAGTGAAGGTGGTCATGTTGTAGTTCACCTTGAAGATGGTCTGTGGCAGTGTTGTAGTCGGGTAGTAATTGTGTTGTACCGACATCATGTAGGAGATGTAGTCCCTTGTGAAGTGTAGAAATTGTCCTGAAGTGAGGTACCTCAGGAGTAGTGGTTGTTCAATCTGGAGTTGGATGATGACGTAGTTGGTGTTGTCGCCAGTTGTAGTGTGGAGTGAAGTTGTGTGGTAGTAGTGGACGTTGGCTGCTTCAGGTAGTGAAATGCTGAGCAGTGTGCAATTGTAGTGTGGCATCCGAAGATCTCCAGGGATGCAGTGAATGGGTCGTGTGTAGTCCAGTTGTGCCAGTGGAGTAGCTTGTTGTTGTGAGAGTAGTTGATACTCTTCAAGTGTAAATGCAGTGAAAAATTGAGTGTAGGGAAAGTTGTCGGGCAGTGGTGGTGCAGTGGTTGTCTGGTGCTCAGTGATGTGTAGTTGGTCCATCACTGTGGTCGGGTTGTAGTAGACGGTGTTGCCGGGTGTAGAATGGTTGAAGTGGTAGTTGGAGTCGTTGTAGGTTTGAGGTGGTGGAGTTCCATGGTCACTGGAGTCTGTAGTGACCGCCACCTCAGGTGTAGTCGCCCTGTCGGGCGTAGTGGCGTCTCCCATCGTAGCATCTGCAGTAGATGGAGCGGCCATGGCTGCAGTGGAATGCAAAATGTAGTGAAACGGGGCAAAACAAATGAGCCTAAGTAGTTGCTACCAGGCAGTCGGCGAATGCAGACATGTAAAACAAACAACTCTAGTGTTGACTCAAGCCGACAAAAGTGCAAGTGAAAGTACATGTAGTTACTGTTACTTACATACCAAGAGTGTCGTGTTACATGTAGCTACTTACATACATGAAATGTCCAAAGTCGTTGTTGTTGTTGTTGTCAAACTGCTGTGCTGGTCGTTCGTAGTGCTAGATGCGTATTCCAATGCTCTGGATGAGCCTGTGTAGTGTTTCTTTGCTGATGTATTTGGTAAACAAATCTGCGCTGTTGTGGAGTGGGTTGATCTTAAGGATTCTGATGATGTCGTGCTTGATGAGGTCTTGTGTGTAGAGGAATTTGAGGTCGATGTGTTTTGCTCGTTTGCTAGTGCCTTGTCGTGTGGCAATGCTCTTGCCTGCTGTGGAGTCTGTGTGGATGCGTAGGTTTAGCTTGCTGCAAATGTTGGTTTCAAGTAGGAAGTTTCTGAGGTGTAGTCCCTCATTAACTCCTGTGCAAATGGCGTAGAGTTCAGACTCTGCTGAGCTAAGTGCTATTGTAGCTTGTGTTCTGCTGCCAAATGCAACTGTTGTTCCTAGAAAGATGATGTTGAAACCTGAAGTTGATTTCCTGGTAGTAGGGCATCCTGCCCAGTCGGCATCGACATGAACGTCGAGATCCAGGATGTTGTTGGTGTTTGCTCTGAGTGTTGTTGTTGGTTCTATGGTGAATTTGTAGTGCTTGGTGCCGTGCAAGTAGCGTAGTAGATGTTTGACTCTCTTTTGTGAAAGTTCTGTAGGTGCTGTGAGGTCTCGTGCTAGTTCTTTTGTGGAGTATGCAATGTCTGGTCGTGTGTATGCTAACCATTGAAGTTTGCCAACAATTCTTCTGTACCTTTTGTGTTGTTCGTGGTCAAGTAGTGCTTCATCTTCTATTGTTGGTTTGTAGTGTGCAATTCCTGGAGTGTTTACTGAGTTGCAGTTGTTCATTCCAGGCTCCTCGATCATGTTGTCGATGTAGGAGTCCTTTAGTCCAAGATTGCAGTAGTTGCCGAAGTGGTCGATGTTTCTTCCAAGAAATTGTTGTGGTTTGCCAGGTTCGAGGTAGCCGATGTGCTTGAGTAGTACCTGCTTCTGGACGGCCTCGAAAGTGGAGTCGACTGCGGTCTTGTCTCCAAGTACTAGTAGATCGTCCACGTAGACCATGATGTAGCAGTCGCGAGTCGCATTGGTGTAGACGTTGGGTTCTGACTTTAGTCTTACAAAGCTGAGCTTTTGTAGAACTTCAGCCAGGTAGTCCTGCCATGCTTTCGGTGAACTGCGTAGTCCATACATGGCTTTCTTTAGTCGCCAGATTTTGTCCTGTTGTGGACAAAGTTCTTTAGGTGGCCAAAGGTAGACGTCACGTTGTTTACCGTCGTGGTCTTTTGCGATGGGTGCGTGTAGAAATGCTGTAGAGACGTCACCTAGTCGCGCGATCCAGTTTGGTCGTGACATTTGTAGTGCGAGAAGTGTCCGGAGTGTCGTGAACATTGGTGTAGAGGCGTAGACGGAGTCTTCGTCCTCGATCTTCTCGGTGTAGCCTTTTGCGACGATTCGGCTTCGTACTCCTGGTCCTTTCTTTCTGTGTACCCATCTTGTAGGTATCGCTTCTCTGATGACGTTGTCGTTGACGGTAGACGCATCTACTTCGTCGTAGACGTCGTGTAGTTTCATTTGGTTTGACTCGTGTTTCATTCCTTCCAGTAGTTGTGTTTCGTCGTAACCTTCGTTGTCGAAGATTATGGGTTGGTCTTCTGAGGTGTCGTCGTTTGTGTAGGGAGTGATGGATTTTCCGTTGGGAAGTGTCACTGCGTTGATTTTCTGTCGTAGTGGTGGTGGTTCTTTGGTTGCTTGTTCCGTTGATCTGATTGTAGTGTCCTTTGAGGTCTTCTGTGCTTTAGTTGGTTGCATTACTTCTTCCGGAGTTAAACGTCGTAGTGTTTGTCGAGGTGGTGCTGGTAGTGGTGGATGTTGTCGTCCAGTTGGTGAAGTAGCCATAGGACTATCCGGTAGTGGTCGTGAACTTGACGTCGATGTGGACGGAAGTCGTGGAGGTGGTGTAGTGCGTTGTTGTTTTGTTGCGGGTTCTGCAACGATGTCGTCCGTCGCATTCGTTTGTTGTCCGAAGTCTTGCGTGGACCTTCTTTTCTCTGACGGTTGTAGTTGCGTATCCAACAGTGTTGCGAACGATGGGTTGTAGGTGTTCCGTCGTGGTGCCCATGGTGTGCCGGAGACTTTGTTCAACAGTGCGAGGTCGTATTTGAAGTCCGGTTGTAGTCTCCGTACTGTTCGTACCTTTTGTACGCCTGATTCCGTTGCGACGTAGTTTTCTCCGGTTTCGGAAACTTTTCCGAGCCAGATGCATTTCTGCATCCGTAGGTCTGCTTTCGGAAGTTTCTTGTGTTGTGGTGGAAGGTAGAGTAGTGTCTCGCCAAATTTGCAGATTGCTCGCTCGTAGTTTCTTCCCCAGCGGCGTTCAAAGCTTGTGTAGCCGTCTGAGTGGATGACGTAGCGATTTACCGTCCATGCTGCATGTCGTACTATCCAAGGTAGTAGACAGTGCTTTGTGGACATCGTCATGCTGTAGTTGCTTTCAACTTGAGCTTTGACGACGCGGATTTGTCCGAGAAGTGTTCTATGTAGTCGCTCAACGCTTCCTTGACTGTTGCTGCTGTAGGTTGTGCCGACTTTTGCTGCTGTAGCTTTTAGAAGTGCGTTGAGTGTGTCTTCGTTGTCGCTTTG